ATCGACCTCGGCAAACACCCTGGCAGCCGAGAGCTCAACGAAAACCTTCCTCTTCCTCAGCTCCAGTCAGCTCTGTGCCGGTAGGGAACGTACCCAGGCATACACCGGGACGTGCCGTGCTGGATGGTACCGGCACTGCTCCTTGCAATGATGCCCAATAAACGGTTTGCCTACAGCCAAGCATTTCATCTGTCTCTTTGTTGGGATGGGTTTGGCACCGCTGAGACCCAAGTGGCACAATAACAGCAAGGCAAAGTCCAGAAATACTTTTTTTTTCTCGTTTTTTTTCCCCAAACTGGAGCAGGGCACTGGATTTGGCGGAGCCAGAACCTGTGGCTCAGCAACAGCCCCTTCCCCAGTGCCTAATGGGAGCCACAGAAGCTCTCCCACCGCTCGGCATCGCTGATGTCGGCGCTGTACTGGGAGCTCCAATCCCGCTCAAAAACTGCCTGCAGCTGCTCCCGGATGGTGCCGGTGCCGGTGCCGGCGGCAGTGGGGCCGCTGGTTTGGCTCACCGTCTGGTTCACCACCAGCGCTGACCCCGCCGTCCGCGTGAAGTAGTCGCCGGACCAGTTGGACGTCCCTGCAAGACAAGGAAGGGAGCCCCCCCAGGCCCACCCACAAGCACTGTCAGCAGCAGCGGGTGGTAACTTGCACCACGGCACCGTGCCGCACGCCGCGCTCACCGATGTATGCCGCCTTCTCTGTCACCATGTACTTGTTGTGGTTCACCCGGGCATAGGGGATCTGGGCTTGCGCCGCGCTTGCCGGCACCATGAAAAGCCGCTGCAGGGAGCCAGGAGAGCGTCACCCACCGAAACATCGCCCGTCAGCGTGCCGCGGTTGTGCCGCGATACCCACCACCTCCACGCTGTAGTGGGTCCGATTGTTGGCGACGGCAGCGAGGGATTTGAGGAAGGGGAACATGGTCGCTTGGCTGTGCCGCCAACAACCTGCCAACAACCGAACCTTGACCCGGCGCTCGAAGATGGCTTTCCGCAGTTGGTTATCAATCGCCGGCCAGAACCTGGGGAGGGAAAGTGGTTTGGCATCACCGGTGCTGGCAAGCCACAGTGCCCATAGGGCCACGCAAACCTTTGAGGGTGGGAGAATTCGGTGGTGGGGAGGTAGCTCATCACCGCGATGTCCACAAAATCCTCGGCAGCATCGATGACATTGAGGAGGGCGCCGAGATCCTGGGTGCGGCCGGCGGCACAGAGAGCCGGCGGGGAGCTCTGCCGGAACCAGCAGAAATGCATCAGGCACCGGCACGGCTCACCCTCGGCGCCGGGAAAACCACCACAGTGGATCGCCACCGGAAAAACCACCACAGTGGATCGCGGACACACCGAGAAGTAGACGGCGGCAGCGGTGCCATTGAGTCTCAACTCCAAGGGTGTCTCCATGTTGAAGGTGGTGGAATAATTTCCCGGCCACGGTGCTGGGATGGAGGCGCCAGGAACACCGAGAGCCCAATAGGCTTCAAAAATTTTTCCCAAATCTTTGGCCAAGCAGCTGCAGTTGTAGACGGCAGCACCGAGCTCCTTCACCTGTGGCAAGAAGCACGGTGGCACTGCCACATCACCAGACGGTGCCATCACCCCTGTCCAGTGCCCTCAGTCCCATCTTATGGCACTGAGCACCCTTGGCAGGGGCAGGGGCAATGGCTTTGGCACTGTTCAGCACAGGTTCGGTACCGTTCAGCGGTTGAATGGTGCTGCTGTGCTGCTCACCTGGGTCAAAGACCTCCAGTCCATGTTGGCGCTGCCAACGTAGAGGTGGGTGCCATCCACGAGCCAAAACTTGGTGTGGAGCACGCCGCCGGTGAGTCGCGGCATATCGACAGTGCGCACTGCGGCACCTGTGGCACCGCAAGTTGGGCCTCTCCCATTCAGAATCCCCCAAACCCCCAGTGTTGGGTTTTTTTCCATCACTCACCGCTCTGCTCCAGCGCTCGGAGGTCGTTCAGGGGCGATTTTGGCGACGGATGGCTGACAGCAATTCGGACGGTGACGCCGCGCTGCGGTAACTGGAGGAGCTCCTTCAGGACTTGCTCACCCTGAGTTGGCCAAAAAAAGCAGAAACTATTAAAAATTACAGGAAGGCAAGAAAATGGCAGGCAGCACGACATTCGAGCGCTGGAACTGGAGTTGTGGCAGACGCTGGCAGTGCAGACCTGGGCAGCGGAGGGTTCGTGTGTCCGTGTGTCCTCGTTGGTCATGGTCCAGTAGAAGGAGGCGATGTCCAGGCTGCGGGTGACGGTCCCCAAGAGGTTCATCCACGTGGAGAAGGTGGACGGATTCGGCACAGATCTGCCACCAAACGCCATTCCCTCCGGGATGCTCTCCACCAGGACGATCCTACGGTGGGAATTGGGCAGCGCTGGCACCACCGAGACTGTAGTGCCAGGATGCTGGGGGTCTTGTGGGAGCATCCCACCCCCTCACAAGCTCCTCTTACCGGCATGCGTCACCACAGGATCTGGCATCGCCGCCGGCATCACCGCGGAGGGCTGAGCTCAGCCAGAGATTGCAGAAGAGGAGGAAGATGAGAATGAAGAGGATGAGGAGGACAGCGGAGAGCAACGTGCCGCGGGAGCGCTGGGGTGGAGAGGGGGCGTCAGCACCCCAAGTTTAAGGAGTAAAGTTAATTGATGGGTTTAAAGCCACCCTGAGCACTGGTGAGATCTGGCCGGCACCAAAGCCAGCCCTGGCAGATGGGGATACCTTCAGCGGGAAGCGGGTGGGCTGTGCTCCATGGTCCTCCAATGGGTCCAGCTGCAACAGGGGGCAGAGAATTGGGGGAGGGCCCTCTGAACCGGGGGGGGGCCAGATTTGGGGGTAAAACCCACCCTAAAATGCCCAGAGTCACCATGGAAAGGGCCTCCCTCTCGCCTATAGCTGAGGGTCCCCACAGTGTGCAAGGTCTGGGTATGGGGGACCTCAGTTTGGGGTTGTGAGGTGCTGGGCAGGGGCTTACGGGGCACCCTACTTTGGGGTTACAGGGGGCTGGACCAGGGCATGGGCCTATGAGGCACCTCAATTTGGGATTTTAGGGAGCCAGGACAGGGCAGGGAGCTATGGGGTGCCCCAGTTCAGGGCTGTAGGGTGCCAGGATGGGGCAGGGGGCTCTGTGACCCCAGGCTGGGGGTCTCAGGGTGCCGCCAGCACCGTACCTGCTTGTAGGCATTGTCAGGCTTCATCCCGGCGCGAGGCTGGAACAGAACAAACCGGATTTCTCCCAGCACGCCTGGGCAGGCGAGATCCCTCCGGGGTGCGGCACAGCTGGGATTTTGGGGGTATGGATAAAAGGAGAGAACGCTAAAGCCCGGGTGGGGCAGAGGCTTTCCCAGCTGACTCACGGGATCGGGGTGCTCACGTGCCCCGACTCCTCTGGGGCGGGGAGGAGAAGTGCTCGGTCCTCCCCACCCTCTGACACTGGGGCTGACATCTCCTGCAAATTGGGTACAGCACTCAAATTTTGGGGTCCAGATCCACCCCACCTCATTGGGACCCCTCCCCTGTGCCTTGGGGACCCATCAAAAAGGAGGTGCTCAGCCCCAGAGATCAGCACCCCCAAACCCTGCCCTGTTTTGGGGGTGGGGGTTAAGCTCGCTCTGGTGTCACCCCCCCGGCTCAGCTTGGGGGCGGTCAGGGCTGTGTTTTGGGGTTAACACGATGTTTAGGACCAGGCTCAGGGCAGTGTTTAGGGTCTGTCTGGGGTCAGGGCTCGGTTAGGGCCGGGTTCAGCGCCAGGGACGCATTCAAGGCCCGGTCCAG